CAAAGATGTGTGTTAGTTTGGTCCAAGTGCTGCTGGCCTGGTAACACTCTCAGTAGAACATCCCTGAAACCACCTCTTTCAGACCTTTTTGCCTAAGTTATCTCAGAATATTCCTAATTAATACAGAAATCTAGATACAGTCAAAAGTTATGCCTATGTCTTGGTTAAATACTGAAAATTCTTTTCTGAATGGATGATTTCAGCAATGCTAAGTTAAAACCTTCTTGGAAAAGGAACATATTGATAACAAATACAGGCAATCTCTTCCTAGATTTATGATTTTGCACTCGAGGAAAGCAATCACCTGAGATTAATGGAGCAGAGGTAAGTAGCTCTATTGAAACCTCCATAGTTAACATTTGTTCTAGAAGTTTCACTAGCTAATAGCTTCTATGTACTAATAACCTGAGAGACCATCACAGCTCAGTACTAAGTACTTTTCAAAGTGTTTACAAACCCAACAAGCTAGATAGCAATTAGGCTATAAAATCAAAGTTCCACAGCAACAATACACATGAAGGGGCATAGTCCTCTCTCTTCTGTATAGAGGTTTGGGTGGAAGAGCTTCGGTTTCTCCGTCATCACCAGATCCCAAGACCTGCTGCCCATGACTGCAAACTGGTGTAGTCGGCCACAAGGGAGAGAACTCCAGAAGAACAAAGCGCCCACCAAGAGCACAGCTACAGCAGCTCTAACTTGCTCTGCATCAGCCCTGCAGATGGGAAAGGGATTTCAAGCCAGTTCCACTCACACAGACACACACTTGTTCTAAGCCAGGTATGGCTACAGAAGTAAGTCCTTTCCGTAAAAGGAGATCTTTATGTCATTCAGACCTACACATTCTTTTCACAAAGGCCTGAAGGCTCCTGTTTTCTGGATTTCCTTGATTAGAGTATAATGAAATATTCTGGACTCTCTGGGATATTTTTTTTTTTCCAGAAAGAAATGGTTACAGGCTTGAAAAGGAAACTTTTTTTTTTTTTTTAAACTACTGGTTAAAAGCACCCTGTTGCATCTGAAATAATGGCCGATTCCATTCTTGGAATATTTTTTTTAAGCTATTGCAGCAATGAAGAGCTTCTCCTGAACTCCAAAAAGAAAACTAAACTGAGTCACTGCACGCAAGCTTCCTCTGCTTATAGAGACATTTTCCTTAAAGTACTTTATTTTTATATAAGCGGTACAGGACAGGACCTTAGATTCTGCATTCAAAGCACCAGTTAATGAAGTTCTAAAGTTAAGTTGCAATAATCATATTCTCCATGGGGTTTTGGCTGTCGCTATAGTCACCTTCTTCCCTTCAAAATATGCTTTTCATTGTTCTACTGCCCTTTTTCCAATTGCTCTGCAGCCAAGTTCTTGGAAAGCAATCACGCTTCTTGTTTAGGATTTATTGCTAGTCTTTTGCCAATAAGGACATGCACAAATCTCTCCTGTGATCATCCTGCACAAGCAAGCTAAAAATACAGCAATTTAAGAACAGGCACATATTGCATGTTATATGGCATCAGCGTGCACCCATCAAAAAATTCTGAGATATATAAAAGAAGGTTGACCCTTTTGGCTAGGCCCATCAAAGGCTCTGCTTGGCTGCCATAAATAAGTTTATTTTAGAATCTCAGTCTACCTAAAGGGAAAAAAAAACAAACAAAACAAAACAAACATATTTGCAGTATGGTTTAATGGTGTTTTTTTTTTTCCTTTTACCAGGTTTACATCATAAACTTTGCACATTACCCCAAGTCTGAGAAAAATAATACTTTATCTTCCAAACTGGCTGTTTTAAAACTAATAACCACGATGAGTAATTTAGTTATCAATAAAACTTTCAAGCGGTGGGAATTGTCTGTCTGTTTTTACAAATTTGTAGAGGATTTTGCAATTTATCAGAGTCAAGTTGTAATTTGGTTTCAAAACATGTTTCAGGTTGTCTAAGAAAGCTCCTGCGCACAGAAACAGGTAACAGGAGGGATGACTGCTGTCATGGCTAAGAAGGAAGGGATCACGATAAAGAGTATCTAGGCAATCACCATGCCTTGGTCACGCTTATCTGATCGTATTGTTTGTTTTTCATACAAATATTATAATTTAATCATCATCCTCTTTGAAAGACTTGTCTTTTATCAGCTTATTGCTTTTGACAGGCAGGAGTAGATTCAGGGATGTGTTCTAAAGCTTCTCTGGCTTAGGGCTGTTAAAGTTCCTCTGCCACATTGGGTGACTCAGTCCTTGGTCCCTCCTGGACCTCTCCATAGGCTCCTTGGTTCTGATGATGTCCTCTATCAAACAACCTTAAATTGGGAAGATTAATTGGGATTCAGTCACCAAGCTGGACTTGCTGCTAGCGGCACAATGTATCTCTATTACTAATGGCTAGATGATCCTGTGGTCCAGACAGGATCGCTGAGACTCAGAAACAAGAGGGCTAATGAAAAGATCCAGATAAATGTTTCACCACCTCATAATCTGGGGTTCTTACTCAACCTGAAATGACTGCAATTGTTATTATTGTGCTTTTCTTTTTATAATTCGCATCTTTCTTGTCTTCCCTTGTCTGCTTATTCTTTTCCCCAGGCAATACGAGATGGTCCCAAATACCTATTTGGTTCCTCTAATTAAACCAGATTTATTTTCTATTCAGTCCTAGAAGACACTAGTGATTTGTGAAATAGGATTTTGCATCCAAGAAATGAGAAATGATAACTAAGGAAACAGCATAAATTTATTCCTAATAAATTATAAATGAACTTTCAAACGCAATAAAACTCCATTTTTTTACATGTTCAGACTGGCAGACTTCTGAGTATAACAAGCAACTTCTGTGTAATTTTGTGCCAAAAACTTCATATTGTACAAAAAAATATGAAGATTTCCTGAAATTTATTCTCTGTTCAAAATTATTCCATGAAATACATTTTTGTATGGAAACTGCATTTACTCTTTTTGTTGCTCTAATAAAATTACTCATGTATCACGTGGCATCAGTTAATTCTGGGTGTGCTTCTCATTGTAATCACCAGGATTCGAGTGCAAGTATTTGGATAACAATTATAAAACTTGCTTCCTGGTATTTCAGCTAAAAAGTTCACTTTACATTGGGGGTTGCTTTGGTACAACTTAGTCACAAAGGAACTTACACAAGGGACCACATAAAAAACGTTACCAAGGCCAAAGCAAATGAGTTGCAAAATTTAAACCAATATTTGCTAGAAAATGTTCGTGGTGGTCACTCAGCCCTACTTCCGAGTCCCTTACAAAAGTCCTCACAGCTGGACTTCTCGTTGCAGGTCTGCCTAAGCCTCCCTCTGCAACTAATCTGAAATTTCCTTTTTGCGGCTGATACTGGGTTTGTGTTCCCCTTGTGATTGTGATAAAACTTCTGCTTTTACTGACATCTGCAGAGCGCATCCCATCATTTTCCTTCTTCTGAGATTAAGTACCACATCGCAGGCACCAACCACCATGTAATTGAGCTAATATAGCTTTTACTTTTGACTTAACAAGTCGAAACACACACGCATGTACTTGGCTTTGGCGACGCGTTCACCCAGCCAAATCCACTGATGGAGTCTGCAGGACCTGGAACAAACTTATTTTTAGGCACCATAATCCTCAATGTATTAATTTGCTTTTGCTCTTGGTCTTCCACATGCTGTCCGTCTTCTTCTGCAATGACATCCACCTACATTACTCCTTGCAAATTTTAAAAACACTTTACTCACGGCAGCTTGCAATGATAACTAAAAAAACCTATGGAAACATACACAATACAGACATAATACTTGTGGCTCTTCTGTCAGGTACATAACTTGTCCTCTGTTCTTCATTTCAAAAAAATTCACACCCCTTCCAAAAAAGTTTTCAAAAAATAAGCACCAGGCCTCAGAAACATGTTGTTAGAGCTTCATACATGGTTAAAAGAAAAGTTGGAATCTAGTTGGGAGTAAATCTTAATGAAATTCTGCCATTTGGATTACAGCTAACAGCTTCTTTAATGCGACTTTAACACAATAAAACAACATTACTGTTACCATCTTGCTGAGGATGGTAGAAAGAGACCATAAAACTGAGTGGCACATTTAAAATTACTTGCAAAATATTGGCTCTCCGAAAACAACACACAATAACTGTAATTAATACCAGTCTTTTAAAGTATTCCTAAAGTCTACTGAAATCTAACCCAGCACTGTAGTGTTGGTAGCACCAACTGCATCCAAAACAATATTAAAAATGACAACAGAAAATAAAAGTTCTCCATCAGAAGTCAGAAAGTTATAATTCACTGATCTGCTGAATGGAATAACACCTTTGCCCTCATTATTTATAGAGCTTTTTTGGGAGGATCTCAGGACTTTACTCTTTAGCTAAGCCTCACAAGTTCAACAGCCCATGAGTTATATAAACATTATTTTACAATTTGAACTATTTTCCCAGCAAAAGGATCGCTCCAGGGGAGGAGTATTTGAATGATTTCTTTTACAAAACTAATATTGCTTTACTTGTACTCCCAGAGCTTCAGAGTGACCAAAGCTGAAGTCCATCCGAGTGGCACCCAGCCTCACTAGCGGGCGGTTCCATGCACTTCAGAGGACAGCGGGGAAAAAAGGCTGCAGGTTGTACCGCACCTAAAAACGCTCTGTCTGGCAAGTGTTTTCAGGGAATAGAAGTTTGAATAAAGGCTTGGGAAAATGTCTTATTTTAAACAGTAAGCAAGTAAATACATACATACATAAAACCGGGCTGCAGCTGACCGAAAATGATCACATCTTGGTAGTGATGCTGCAACCGGGAGACGTGTTGCTTGTGCGTGGCACTCATCCTCCGGCCGGGGGGGGATGCTCTCGGATGGCCGGGGTCTCCGCGGGGAACCGGGGCGAGCCCCGAGTCTGGCTAAAGATGCTTCCTGCAACCTCTCTCTCTGTGAAGTGGGGCTTAGAGGACCTGCAGTACCGATGTCTTCAGGGGAAGAGATTTGCATCAAGAACCAGCAGATGCATTACTTCGAGATTTTATTTTAATCTGACACATGATTTCAACACACCGGGGCATCCGCAGCCCGGGGGGTGGGGGCGGGGGCTGAGCCCCCAGCCCCTCTGCCCGGCTCCGGCTGGGGACAAACACACTCTCGACAATGGGCATGTTTGCAGCAACATGATATCACCTAATAACGCCGAATAAGGCAATGACTGTACGTTGTAACGATACGATCCTGCCGGTCTCACCACACGGCGCGGAAAGCTATTTGCAGATTTGCTAAGCCCCTTTTGAATGAATGCATCTGCAGCTGACCTTTAACAATAGACGCTGAAATAGCACAATCTGTGGGACCAGATTTAAGGGGGG